GCTCTCCATCTTCAACAATCCACTAAACATGTGTAGACTGGGTATGTACCTTGTGTGGGGCACTTGGGTAAGATTATTGTATATCTACCTTTGTACATTGGATTATGATTTAGTGGATTGGACGCCTATGTGATCGTCCCCCAGACGTAGATACACACCGTATCGAACTGGGTAAACATTGTGAGTGTTCGTTCTGTGTGTTTGTTTATTTTTCTCTGATGTTCTCTTCATAATCTATCATTACTTAGTAGGCGCTTAACTGAATGAATCAGTATTCTAAGTCAGCCAACTATTTCTGACATTTTACGTAAAATGAGGAAATGCAAAATTACAGATGGAGCTCCCAAGATGGGCTCTGATACCAAATGTCACAACCCTGAGATTTGAACAAGAAACACAGAAGCAGAGATAGAGAAAAGAAGAAGAAACAGATAGAGAAGAGGGAAGAAATAGGTAGAGGATAGAGGAGAAGAAAGGGGTTTAGGAGAAGAGGAAAGGAAATTAGGTTTCCTGATTTTAATTTCACAAAAGCATAAACATTTCTGAAAATAAACAACTAAATAAATAAGGCAAGGCTAGCTAATACATCCAAAAACTTCTAACCAACTCCCGCAATTTCCGCCTCTGCAAGCTCCCAGCTGTCTACATCCAAACGAAGGCTTCATTGCAACTGCTTCCAACTGCCAGATTACGGAACGGTGTCGTTCCGTTCCTTTATTCAACTACTCTAACGGCTACCTTCTTACGACGCCGTTTAACTAAGTGACTGCGATTAATTCGTTTTCTCAAAACTACGTAGTGCCGGTCCCTCAACTTCTTAATTCTGCCTTCCCACACTTAGCTCCTGAGAAGACTTCTTCCTCTTTTGGTCAGGGTCATGACACTTAACAGATTGAATATTGTTATACCATTCAGATCGCCCATCTAATTTCAACAAAACATTTTGGTTCACTTATCTATTTATGGGGATATAGAATGATGGGATTGGGATCACGAATTGGCAGCAGAATTTGCCATCTTCTAGATCGTACCAGGCAGTGACGACCGCGAGGACAGAAGCAATGTGGATTCATCTCGATAAAAAAAGGTTTGAACAAGAGAAAAAGGCTTCTACAAATTTTCATTGAACTAGTCTATTTTTCATTCCAAAAAATCCAATCTATCAATCTTGATTTTTGCGAAAACTAATATTGATATATATATTTCCAAAAAATTGCTTGAAATTATGAACAGAAATTTATGTTCTATGCAAATAGAAATCATAGAAAGTTGTATATATAATGTCATAGAATATATATACAATCAGAACATATAAATATGCAATTAATATGCAATTTGAGGCATTTGGAAACAATAAGGCATAGAAAACTCATAAAAGTACCGTTCATCAGGATTGAGCGGTGCTGATAACGTGTTGTAATCCATTTGGCCCTTAGCGTTTATCCCGGTGAAACGAATCCAATAACAGTAATGTAAATATGTAAAAAGAGAAAGAGATAGAAAAGTAGGCAATAGGTAATGAGAATTTTTATTCATTCCTATATCTCATCCATACAACCACAACACATATATATAATATACAAATGTAACGGAAGACATAATATAGTCATTAAACACTATCCATTACATAATCAATACAAATAATGACCACAATAAATATATTTATAACACTTTTGTCACTAATTAAGAGCTAATTTAAAATTTTCTTCTTATTTGAACCCACCCTACACTAAACCGGCCACTATATAAGTGTATTGCATGCATGATAGCACATACAGTCTATCTAGCTAGCTTATAACCTTCAGTTCATCGTTAATTATAGAGTTTAATATGATTCATTGATCTAGTCTAGATCAATGGTCCAAAATGAAGATATTTTTTTAAAAAATAGTAAAATTATGATAATTTTGTGAAAGTAAAATTTTCATTGTGTTACAATGCATTTTTCTCTTCTTCCAGTGCACATTTTTATTCTTCATTTGTACATTGTTGTCGCTTCTAAAGCACACAATTTCTCCTTTTGAGTGAACATTGTTTTGTCTTTCAGTGCACTTTTTCCTTCTTTCAGTGCATTTTTTCCTTCTTTCAGTGCACATTGTTGTCTCGTCTAGAGCACAAAGTTTTTCCCTTTGAGTGCACATTGTTCTGCCTCTCAGTGCACATTGTTGCTTTCTAGTTCACATTGTTGTGTCTTGCAGTGCACAATTTCGAAGATCGTAGGTGTCAGATTTTTATTTTTTATTACCATTGACTAGAAATCCTAATTCTAATATTAAAGTCTAACCCACAAATCCTTATAGAATTATAAATACATCATTAGTCTATATATTATGTCATTGCTCACTGGTTAAAAGTTGTAAACAATTATTTTAGTGACAATTATAATCAATCTCGATTATAATATCTTGCATTCGTATATTTAGAATCACCTATTTAAATAAACAAATTCAACATTTAATAACACATGCATCCACATCTCCTATATAATATTGCATTTATGTACTTTAAAGTAATTATTGAAAAATAAACATTGGGCATTATCCCAATCGCGCAATGCGCGTGAAAAAAACCTTGTATATATATAAATGGGTTCCCGTGCGGTTGGCCTTCTTAGGTGCGGTTGTTAAGGTGCGTGATTTGTTTGCTTAAGGTGCACCATTTTAAAACCTTAGGTACGTGGTTTGTGTTCTTAAGGTGCGTTGTTTGTATACTTAAGGTGCGTTGTTTGTGTACTTAAGGTGCGTCGACCTAAAACTTTAGGTGTGCGTGGTTTGTGTGTTTGAGGTGTTTTGTTTGTGCGTTTAAGGTGCGTGACGTGGTTTGTTTACTTAAGGTGCACCATTTTAATGCTTAAGGTGCGTCAACCGCACTAAAAGCTCATATCCGCACATGAACCCTTTGCCCCCTCTCTCTCTCTCTCTCTCTCTCTATACATACATACATACATACATACATACATACATATATATATATATATATATATATATATATATATATATATATATATATATATATATAATGCTATATATTTGTAGTTTAAAATTTATAATTGTAATAAGTTAGAAATATAGTATACTAGATTTCAACATAAATTTTAAATTTTAAAATTTATGAAAATAGACAAATATATGCATCTTTAAAGCTCATATATAGATGAAATAATACTAAGGGTGTGTTTGCTTCATGAATTTACACACTTAGAATGGAAATAAAAATCATAGTTAGTGTTTGATTGACAAATTTTTAAAAAAAAATACACACACACACAGATATATATATATATATATATATATATATATATATATATATATATATATATATATATATATATATATATATATATATATATATATATATATATATAATGCTATATATTTGTAGTTTAAAATTTATAATTGTAATAAGTTAGAAATATAGTATACTAGATTTCAACATAAATTTTAAAATTTAAAATTTATGAAAATAGACAAATATATGCATCTTTAAAGCTCATATATAGGTGAAATAATACTAAGGGTGTGTTTGTTTCATGAATTTACACACTTGGAATGGAAATAAAAATCATAGTTAGTGTTTGATTGACAAATTTTTAAAACACATCTATGTGTTTTGATTACCCCTTCAATGAAAAATTTCATTCCCTAATTAAAAAGGGTATCATTCCATCTTATGGGTAATCTAACTTTTAAGTTTGGATTATTACTTTTAGATTTTTTTTTTCATATTGATGTTTTGGATGTCATTATATCTCTGTTTGGCCGAGCTTATTTAGAAGCTTATAGCTTATTTTAAGCTACTAATAAGCTATAAGCTCTGTTTGGTAATGTTTCCATAATAAGCTTCTAGCTTAAAATAAGAGCTTATTTTGGAACGTTACCTTAGGTAGCGTTTCAAAATAAGCTCCTAGCTTCCTAATATTTTTCCCATCTCTATCTTTATTATTTTAAAGAAATGACATAATTTACCCTTCCCAATTAAAATCCTTTTCTTTTCTCCTTTATCCGCAACTTTCACCTTTCACCGCAATTATTATTATTATTATTATTATTATTATTATTATTATTATTATTATTATTATTATTATTATTATTATTATTATTATTATTATTATGAGATTTGCAACAATATTGCTACTTCATTATGAGATGCTAGATCATGATTATGCTAATAGTTATATTTCAAAATGTTAATTTTTTTTAAAAGACAAAATTTTAAATTTTAATATGTAAACAAACTAATTTAAATTTTATGAAGATGTCCTTTTTAGTATTTTTACATTTATTAGCTTATCAAAAAGCTAATTTTACCAAACACTTTCAATCATAACAGCTAGCTTAACAGCTCTTCAGTTTTCAGCTCCGAGCTTATAGCTTTTCAGCTTTCAGCTCCTTTTCAACTTTCAGCTCCTAGCTTATAGCATTTCAGCTAGGTTTACCAAACAGAGCCAATTTATTATGATCAATTGTTCTATTTTTTTGTTTTCTATTTTAAAAACATTTATTTCCATTATAAAGTCATATACAACCAAACGTCAATTTTGATAATAATCATTCCAATTTCACCATACTACCAAACATGTAAAATATACTTTCACCAAAACTCATTAGCAGTACCAAATATTTAAATCTCATTCCGATTCTAATTTTCATATGCGAACCAAACACACAAGTAAATGTAATATTTCGTTAGTATGTCTCATGTTAACACAAAACGAATTGTCAGGCATAAAAAATTAAAAACATCTATAATTTGTATATGCTTATCTTATGTAAAATAGTTTTGCAATATGTTATGAATATACCATATCTTCTGCATCAATATTCTTTTAGTAATATCGACTCTATTACAAGGTAATATGTTGTAGCTCAAAAAGTCCATACTCCTCTATCGGAATTTGATCATGTGACCTTTCCTCAAAGAGAAACATAGAGGTGCTACTACCAACTGAGCACAAGATGTTTGGCAATGTTGTATTGTTTTAATTACACTTTAGTTTCATTTGACAAAATATGCTATTGTATGAGCTTTGTTTATTCATTTTATTTTCCCTACACACTAGTTTTATTAAAATAACTTGAAATATCATTTTAATTACAATTCAGGTTTATTTGACAATATTACATGAGTTCTGTTTTTTAGTTTCACTTTTTTACATACACACTTGTTTCATTATAGTAACACTGAAGTATCATTATTTTAATTACACTCCAGGTTAATTTGGCAACAGATGTTATTGTATCGGCCATATTTTTTAGTGTCATTATAATAACGTTGAAGTATCATTTTAATTACATTTCAAATTCATTTGACAATATACGTTATTACATGAGCTCTATTTTTTAGTTTCATTTTCCTCTCATACAAATTTAGTTATCTATCCTTTTAATTATAATACAGTTTCATTTGACAATATAAATATATATAATGTGATTCTTCATTGGTTCACGATAATGATAAGAAAAACGACTCTGGGTTATCATATTGAATTATAATCCACACAACACTATGTGGACAATGATCCAGTATATGACAACTACTACTTCAATAAGTATGTATACACATCCATTGCAAATTAAGCTACAAGTGTCCATTGACCAAACCATGCACATTATACAAACAAATTATACAATGGACCAAAAAAGTCTAGCTTCTTTGTCGACTATGGTTCAATATGGAATTCAAATTATGTATTTACAATTAATATCATTTAGTAATTATATATATATATATATATATATATATATATATATATATATATATATATATATATATATATATAAATCAGTGTTGCAAAAATCGCGCCTAGGTGTCGATTAATCGGCGCCTAGGCGCTAGGAGGCCGCCGCGAGGAATGGCCTCGGTGGCCTCCTCCGCGGCCGGCCGGCTAGGCGGTCTAGGAGGCCGCCTAGACCGCCTAAACGGCCGGTTCAGCGGTTCGGCGAATTTTTTTTTTTTTTTTTTTTTTTTTTGAAAATGTCGGAAAAGTTTCGAAAGGCATAACTTTTGACTCGATTGTCCGATTTGGGCAATTTTTTTTTTCAAATCGCGTATTTTTGCGAGATCTATATACGGCAAACGGCCAAAGGCGGTTTGGTCCACTAATTTCTCAAAAAAATGCTTCTTTAGTTCTTAATTTTAGTTTTTTATGTATTTAAATGGTTTAAATAATCTTTTGAACAATTTATCAACCACTTTTGTAATTAGTTTCTAAGAAATAACTATGGAAACCTTATGTTTTAGTACTAAATTTTGAAAATTTTAAATTAAAAATATTTTTTTAATTAAAAAAAATAAAAAATAAATAAAAAATAAAAAATCGGCGCCTAGGGGGCGCGTAACGTTTTTTGCAACATTGATATATATATATATATATATATATATATATATATATATATATATATATATATATATATATATATATATATAGGTAAAAGTTCAGGTGTGAACTATTACTAATGTGTGCACGTGTGCACTCATTATAATCGTGTGATGTATGATGATCTATGGTTGCAAATTAGGGTGCACCCCGCCACATCTACTATTTTATTAGTTGCATATTGGAGGGGGGGAGTCGGGGGTTGTATGTTTTGTGTTCATACCGTTGGCGGCACACTCCGAGCAGCTCTTTGGAGGCGCGATAAGCGGATGACTCGTTCTGGTGGCTACCGGCGTTCTAGGAGGGGTAGGTCACACTCTTGGTTCTCGCCCACGACTCCACCGTGAGCTTCGTTGCACAGGGTCGCCGATGCGTCCCGATCGTTCAGACGTCGGGTTGGGCGCCAGTCTCCGGCGGCGGCCGATCGTGGCAGGTTTGAACGAGCTGCTCCGGGGATTGCGGCTAGGGTTTCTGCACGGCGGCGGACCGCGCATCGATGGGGCACGCGAGGTTTGTGCATTGCTTTATGCTTTCTGCGTGTTTCACTTGCTATTTCCAATGTTGGGGGTTTTACGGGCGGTAAGGGGTGTTGGGGTTGTCCTAGGCTTTTTCAGTAACTAGTTTCTTCAGGCCTTGCTCTATGATTTTGGGATGTCTTCAGTTCTTGATTTTCAAGAATGTGGCCTGTGCTTTCTCAGTGAATAATATGCCTTGCTTATATTCGGTAATGCATTAGTATTGTCAGGTTTTGTTTGGGGTTTTTTGGCAGTAGTAATCACTGTGGCATTCGTTTACAGTGTGCCAAGGAGTAGAGGTTGCATTTTGTGGTGTAATGCAGTAGTCTATGCTTCACTTTGTGACTACGATAAACTTGTAAACATGGTCTTGTTATGTGCTACATCTAGCAATTGCCTTCTCAGTAATTACTGATTGCAGTTCTTAATTTATGAACTGAGCTTTACATTTAGCTAATTTTCTAGCGATTGCGCAGTGGCTAGTATCTTGAGTAGCTTCGGTTAGAGTATGGCATAGCCTACGCTTTGTTTCTTAGTTTATATGTTTTGCTTATATTATGTAATGCATTAGACAAATGTGGGGCAATAGGGGGTGGGAATGTTACATTATGTTTTGATTCAGTAAACTTGTTACTGCTCCATACTTGTATACTAGCTAAATATATGTGTATATAGTTTCTGAATTAATTAATAGAGATTAATCCAGGATGCATAAGGCGTGGGAAGAACTAAGGATTCGATTAAGAACCAATATTTCTAGCTGTCTGAAAAAGATTGGATTAAAAATCAATACTAGACTCCCAAAACAAACTACTGAGAATCAGCAATGAGAACAGTGTGGGTACCGAAGATGAACTTATGATATGCTGAAGAAATTTATTGGTGAAGGATTTATCAAGTTGGCGGTGCTTCGGAGAATTACCACCTCCCTATAAAAGAAGAAAGGACTAAAGAGAAAGATTTATATACAGCACACAATAAGTCCAGGAGTATGGGATGAAGAGGAACTGCTTTTAGCCAATGAATTCAAAAAAGAAATTCCAGTATCTCCTAAAATTTGAAGCTTTTGCAATATGCCCAAATATTTACTGTTAAGAAGTACATGCAACATAGGACAATAATTTTAGAAAGCACCACTTACATGAGTCATATGGTCATCAATAGCATCCTCTGCCTTTTTGATTGCATGAAAAAGATTTCTTAAGTATGAAACATCATGAGTGATAGAATCCATATCCCGATCCAAGCAATTAACATCAACCAATGCCTTGAGTGTAAGAATAAGTGGCCTGGCCCAAATGGTGTAAGTTTTAAAAGAGTGGAGAAGGAGCAAATTGCTGTCTAATATCAAATTACACACATTAATCAGTACACATATTCGAAGCCACAAATAATCAAACAGAAAGCACATTTACCTAAAAACTGAGCGTAAACCTCTTCATCTAGACTTTCAAATGGGGGGAACTTGTGTCATGGGCAAGAACATGGATCAAGAAAATGACAGTGTAAACACGAGAATCTGTCACTTTTCTGGGCAGTACTGAAGTTTGGTGCACTCTAGCTGCATCGATGTAGTCCTTTATAAATTCCTCCAAATTTTTCATCGCCATAAAACAAATGGTACATTTTATGACGAATAAATACCTTAATTAGCATAAGGGTAACATTTTATCCGGTTAGTTATTATTACAAAAAAAAATATTACACTGGATGTTGCAATGCACAAATCTAATGTGGTACGTTGTTGTGGTGTTCCAGGTCGGGATGATGGCCACCCGGTGGGGTCTAGTGACGACGAAAGTGATATGGACGAGGGGTTTCAAACGCCGCTGGAGGATTCTGAAGATCTCAATGATGCAGAATCGGCGCATGGTGCGGCGGCCCGCGAAGCCAGTTGTTCCCTAAGATCAAGACACGGGGCAGCCCAAGGGAGCTTGTTCGCCTTGTTGCCTCGCTCACGACACGGCAACGGCAAGATGTTAACGCCATCGGTATGAGTGGGTTGCTGGGGTTAAGGGTTAGTTTCATTTTCCTCTCATGCAAAGTTAGTTATCTATCCTTTTAATTATAATACAGTTTCATTTGATAATATAAATATATATAATGTGATTCTTCATTGGTTCACGATAATGATAAGAAAAACTACTCTGTGTTATCATATTGAATTATAATCCACACAACACTGTGTGGACAATGATCCAGTATATGACAACTACTACTTCAAGAAGTATGTATACACATCCATTGCAAATTAAGCTACAAGTGTCCATTGACCAAACCATGCACATTATACAAACAAATTATACAATGGACCAAAAATGTCTAGCTTCTATGTCGACTATGGTTCAATATGGAATTCAAATGATGTATTTACAATTAATATATCATTTAGTAATATTATATATATATATATATATATATATATATATATATATATATATAAGCCACTAATTTTTAGCCAATCAAATGACTCTATTTTTCCGCCCAGGGAAAACGCAGAGTTTAATGCCATTGTTGTACAGAAGTTTGATGAATTGGAGTTGCAGATTTATAGGAAGCTTTTTTGAATTTTGACAGATCTAAATCTTTTTATTAATTTACGTGATTGTCTTTTTCTGTGTAAATAACGTGTAAATCTGACTTTAACAAGTTTCAACAAATTTAATATTATTTTGTTGTCAAGTCTAATCCTATTAGTCTTCTTATCGTAATCTACAAGCAAAAGTACAACAAAGCCAAAATTTGTAATGAGGTTTTGGATTTGTTGATGCCTTATGTTGCACGCCTAATACATAGCTTCTTATATACATGTTACAAACCATTGTGTACATAAAAAAAATAAATAAATAATTAAAAACCAATACAAACGTTCAATCACTATGTCTGGTCAATTCATTCTTGGTTCCCAAATACACTCCAATTACACCAAGAAAGATATGAAGGTGAGTTTGATACTCACATACGAAGCTGTTGAATGAAGATCAAGGAAATCTATCAAAAGTAGAAAATGTATGTTTCATGATGGAGAGGTAAGTAATTCAAGAAGCATTTATGTTTTTAAAATTAATATAATATATTGCTATAGACTTTTATTCCTGCTCATCGAACTCAACGTGATCATTTGGCTGCATTTTTAATTGTTAATATCAATGCAAAAAAAGAAAAATACAGTACGAGAAATTCAATCTAACAATTCAAAAAAAAGAAAGTAGATAATCCCAAGAGAAAGCTAGAAGCCCACATGAGACAAACCAAAGAATCAAACCCACACCAAAAAGTATGAAAGAACTGAGAAGAGAGGTCATATAACAATTATAAATTATGTCAATAGCAGAGAGAGTGTTTGTTTCATGATTCAGTGGTAAGTGATGCAAGCATTCATAGTAGTTTTGTAGAAAATAATATACTTAATATTCCTTAAACTAATAAAAATGTTGGTTAGTTATAAACAAATAAAATTTTTCTTAGATATTTTCTCTTGGCGGTAAAAAAGATGCTCTCATATACTTAATTATTATTTCCTAATAAAACATTATAGTTGTTTCCTTACTTCTTACTGTGCAATTATTTATTCTAATCTTATTGAAACGGTTAACAGATTTTACAATGTGTATGAAAACAAATGTATAGAGATGTTTCTAAAAATGCATCACACTCTTTTGTCATCATTTACAAAAAAAAAAAAAAAAAAAAAAAAAAAAAAAAAAAAAACTAATTTGTTAATTTTTTGAGTGTATATAAAGAAAAAAAAAAAAAAAAAAAAAAAAAAAAGGACAACTAAGTATACACTCTTCAGCTTCCAAATAAATCCAATTTTCAAAGAAAAAAAAGTTGTAAAATAAAAAGTAATTATGTTCCCTTTTGTAATGATGGTTAAAGACTCCATGACACTCAACATGTTGATAGCAGTTTGGACACATACGCACATTCATTTTCAAGCAAAAAATTCAATACATGTCAAATCATAACAATCAAGCATGAGCAGGTTGTCACACCCCATTTTTAGGACATGACCCGGTCGTATCGTTACGTGCATACCTGTAACAATATGAAGCCTAACCATACATACCTTTCGGAATCTTCATAATAACACTTGAATATACAATAATTCCACAACCCAATATGACAATGTATAATCGACTAGTTTCTCCCAAAAACTCATCAAATCCACTGTTAAATATTTACACTCAAGAATAGTATGTCCAAAATGCATCACAAGTACCAAAATCAAGCACAATGGTTTACCAAAAATACAAAGGTCAAAGGGAATATCTAAATAAACAAAAATCCATGATAAGCTCCAATACTAGGACTAAGTCTCCTAGTCTCAAAAGTCACCTTCGAGACCCTACCACTTGTGCTCGTGCTATTCACATGTCAACTACTCGGAAACATGAGGAAAATACAAATAATGGGCTATTGCCCAGTAAGTGATACTCCTCTCAACTCCAAATCAAGTAACCCTAATAGAATACAAAAAGCTTTAGAGTAATAAATATATGCAAATCACGATCTTCAAGCTATACCGAAGTCATAATATTATTCCTTCATACTGTACACAAGTTCTCAAAATAGAAAACTTTAACTACAAGGCATCAACCTTATTTCATAACATAATTCTTTCAAAACCTCAAATCTTTCCTTAATCTATGACTCATTGGCAACCTAATCGAACCGAAACCGAACGCTAGTGTTAAATCGAATGGTTTAATTTTTTTAAAACTGAAAATCAGAAACTGAAACTGAAACTGAAAAAATCAAACCGAAACTCGAAACGCCCACCCCTACCGAAGACCATAGTCGGTGAGAACGAACAGGATTTGAGGCTTCTGTATGAGATCATGGATTCACAATTGTCGTCTATGCTTTCTCCTCTGTCCAGGCTTGTCACGTACCTACTGAATGCGGCGGGACGGCGAGTGCTGGTGCCTGTACGTGCATATTTCCCACCAAGATTTTGGCCCTTTTTACAAATTAAAAACCATTAGCTGTAACATTGCCACGTACTGTACAGTGCATGTGTGGATATTTCCAAAATACAAATGCCTTGATATGGTGCAAAACTTTGTCACGTGTTACGATGTGCCCAGAACATATGTAGAAGCTCGTAGGAACAATTTAGCAAAAAGTTGTGCAGTCTTCGTGGAGATCTTCTGTTGGTCAATTCACCTCATTCTCATATGAAAATATATTACGGAGTATGAGATAGTGATTATAATTTCCTTACTTGTTGTGCCCAGGATTTAAGTAGGCTCGTGGGATTCACCATTCTTTCATCGTGCATCTTATTAACTATGGGAGCCAAAAAAAAAAATTGTGACTGTAGTATTTACAGCTAAAGTCGGGATGGGGGAACCGCTTATTCTGCGCCACTCGATGACTGCTCATTTAGCGCCACTCGTCCCTTTATCTTTTCGCCGATCGTATTTCTACGGCTGACGTTTTGACCCTCCTGGTCAAGTCCTTCAGTGTAACGGATTGACCACTCTTTGTCAACAACTTTTGAGTACTTTAAAATCAAACATTACGTCTAATCTACATTATAATGGTTACCTCTTTTGAACCTCAACGTGCAATTTTTATTGCTTGTTTCTTCTCCAATCATCCTCTTGGTCCATTGTGAAATTGCACCGTGAGACTTGAAATAAAAATAAAAAAGTAATGTATTTTTACTTGTTTTTAAGTTATGCACCAGTTACGTTCATTAATTAAACTTGTTTAAACAAATATAAATAATGAAGACAAAAAGCATAAAATAAAGTAAAAACACAAAAGAATTGTTACGCAGTTCGAAGCTCCTTTTCCTACGTCTGCGGGGCACCCCACGTCTGCCCAATCCACTATAGATGTTCACCAAAAGGAGTATTACATGAGGTAAATACAGATTGGCTCCAGCCTTTACCACTACCACTCTTTCTAACACCTATCAGGACTGACACACGTATGCCAGAACAATCTTCACAAGATGCTTCAGCAGTACCACGTACAGATCATGTGTTACAGATTAAATCTTCTTAACAATTAGATAACATAGCAGATTAAATTAGGAAGCTTTGTAAGGAAAGTGTGCACTCAGAATTGTAGACTCAAAATTGGCAACTTTCCTCTTTGATGCGGCTTCTTTTTATAGTAAGTATTAAGCCTCATCTTTGATCCTTAATCTTAGCCTTTTTCTTTGTTCGAATAAATCATAGCCACATCCTTTTGTTTCTTGAAAGCTTCATGCGCCCCACTCATTTAAGCATCACATGGTCCAAAGAAAAATTAATTCTAACAACTCTAATT